TATATAGTATATTTATATAATAAATACACAAATGAGGGTTTTTTTTCAGTAAACAAATACATCAGCACTCTAACTAATCTTAAGAAAAACCCGAGGCCACTCAATTGGGGGGCGGCGGGGAAATATTGGGAAATCTGGATTAGAAACATCTCTGCCTGTTGGACACAGAACAAAGACTGACTTGTGGAGGAAGGGTTGAAGAACGTTTTGTCTGTTGTCTAATGACATGAATTCCAATCATTAAAGTGTCCAAATATGCTAGGTTGACCGGATTAATTTTATAGTAGCAATAACTATTCCACGGATTATAAGCTTATCAGTGCTTCCTCCATCAGAAACTGCAATCTTCAGTATGATTGAGATGTGGCTTTTATCTAATACCTCACAAGGTGATATTGAATGTGGCTATAACCCAAACTTCCTGAAATCCATCTTTGAAATACAACTCACTGCTGTCTGAGCACTCAAAGCTGCAGGCAGGGATGTGGAACCACCTGTACCAAATGCATCAACAGCCCTGGGTGCCATTTACAAAAGAGCTCACCAAGAGAATATAGAGGAGGATTAACTTCAAAACTCAGTTTATGCCATGGTAAAGAGCACTCAGCCCAACATCAGCCTGGGCAAATGCTGTATGTCTCTATGCACAGAAGGAGGTGCTTCCAGGAGATGTCGTCTCTTCTGCATCACAAAACTGGAAGGGAGTTGCTGTAGGCACAACTGAAAAGGGACTGTCTAGGTGTCCCTCACAGCATGGCATGGCAAAATAGTCCCCTTGTCATTTTGGAGCTTTATCATAGACTTCAGTAAGACCAGAGCTAACCCAGAACTCATTTATAATTCCACGTAAAATTAAAGTCATGCACCATGATTGAATTTCTCTAGTTCCAATCCCACTTAAAAAAAGTCACCATCAGACAACAGCAGTGAAAACCGGGTGGAAACATCTGGCTCTCCAACATAAAATTCCAAGGTCTTCTACCCTGCCCTTGTTTGCCTCTTAAGCTCCAGGCATCCTGTAATTCATTTTATTGACTATGGAGAAATCTGCCACTATTAAACAGAGTCCAGCTGTAGAACAAAACTGCAGAAATGGGAGGGTTTTTGCCTGAATTAAGGAGAGGTGGTGGTCATGGGCTTACTTGATCCTGGGAACCTATTTTATTTCACGGATTTATTTTAACTGTGGAGATACTGAGATGAGGTGAAGGTTCTTCCTTTCTGTGCATGTCAAGGGAAACTCAGGAAAAGGGAAAAAGAAGAACCATTTAAACAGATGGGTGCAACGAGAGCACAGCTCCTTTGCCTGCAGCGCTGTGCCTAAGTTAACATGCCCAAACCCTCAGCATATGGAGCTGTAACATCTTCCAGATCAGAGCTGGCTTGTGTCCGGTGGCTCAGAGAGCAAGAGGCTCCTGGGTCTGCCTGCACCTCTCAGGGTTGGCATGAGCAAAACATGCCCTTGTGAGGATGTGCCACTGACAGCTGGCTTGTGTGAAAAGGAGACGTCCCGATGTGTGGTTACACTGTTGGATTTTAAGAAATATTTCTGCTTATTTTGTAAAGATGCCTTGATGCTAAAATTTGCCTCCAACATAAGAAGGCCCCAAAACATGGTTAAGTGTTCTGTATTCATCCAGAACAAAAGCCTCTGAAAACCTCCACAAATATTTGGAGATCAGATGAAGATGGGCTTTGAAGAGAATGCAAGATTCGCACCCTTTAGTAGGTCACACTAAGAATACCAAGCAGAGCAACAACACATCTTGGTACAGATGTATTCACGCCACTGTGCTGTATCTATCTTTAGCCCACCCTATCCCATGAGTCAGGAGTTGTGCATAATTTTGCTAGTTTTTTAGACACTGGTTCAGGACGCATGCCAGCCACCACGCAAAACTGGAACAGAACACAAATACAGGAAAAATTATCTCTAGCAGAATTACAATTGTACGTTCTAAATCCTAAATATTTCATTGATTCCTTGCCCTGTTCTGCCCTAGAACGCTCAGACACCAATTAAGTGCCTAATCTAAGCTTGTCATTTTTCAGCTCTCTTTATCCTTGCATCAGCCGGTAGTATGTTAAAGCATCGTAATTTCATTGCAAATGCACTCCTGCAGTGGTCTATGACAATGAGTTGGTGCAAGACTTACTACACAGCAAAAACCCTCAGTGTTTTTAATAATGTTAGAAGAGATTAGCAGTGTGAGTTTATTGTGAGTCTTGTGAGGAGCCTTAGTTTTATGTTTATCTGAGAAGCATGGCTTCTGATTTATTATTTTTTCCCCCTTTAAGTGCACTGTTAGACCACTTATATTTCCCAAAAAAGCACCCCAAAAACAACAAAAAGTAAACAAGAAATCAACAAAAGCACCCAAAGACAGCAAAAAGAAAACAACATTGAGACCAATTTCTTAAATATCATTTTTTTAGAGCAAACCTCTCAGCAATTTTGAGAGTGTCTGGTCTTACTGGCTTTTGGAAATTAAATGCAGGGAATTCTATGCAGAGCTGGCAATCTGACTTGGAATTTCAAAGGGACAGTAAATAAAAAGACTTGAAGCCTGCATTGCTATGAGAGAGAAGAGTTGACTCCTTCCCTAAATTACAGATTTTCACCTTCTCTAGGAATACCTGATGTCAGTCACAGGTACAGATTTCCCTTCTAACCTAGGCAATTTAACATGGTATTTTGTACACATATTTGCATGAACAAGACTGTCTGAGCATTCATGTCAGAAGGCTATATTCTTCATTAAAAAAATCTTAAACCATTCAGAAGTTATTTACTACTTAGGTATTTTTGCCTTTAAAAAGAAATATTTAGTTATTTATTAAAAGATTCACCTTCCTTGATTTTGATCAGATACCAAGATGAAGGTAATGAACAATTCTTCTCCCAGTTTACCTTCCAAAACTGGCACACACAAGCCAGCTCAGATGTTATCCTGATTCACAGCCATTTTATTATTCATGCACACTCAATTTGCTGGAAGCAGCAAAGGATCATATACCATTTGACCTGGTAGCTACTGAACAGTAGGAAAATAAAGCCTTTATGCAAAACAGATCATGCTAAACACAAATAATGTATAACCAGATCATTTCTCATCTTGGCCTATTTTTATCCTACAACTAAACATAGCATAATCATGCTCTGTGGGGTAACCCAATCCATGTTTCAGACTAGAAAGTACGAGAGTTAGCAACTATTGAATGCTTCTCATTGGAAATCACATCACGTAACTTCTTCATTCTGCTTTACAGGTACCAGGTTCAAGTCAGCCATACTTTCTCAACCCTTCTTTTAAACTTAATCACACTTTCTCTGTATTTAACTGAATGCAAATAATGTCCTGTACAACTCTAAGAAATGCTCATTAGCACTGTATCTGAACCATCAAATCTTATACCCATGGATTCAGCTTAAAAAGAGGGCAATGTAAAAAGATTTCTGCCTAACGAGTTCTCACTATGAACCCATCCCTGGCAGAGCAGGACAATGAACAAACAAAATACTTAGAATTTAGAACCACAGCAATTTTAGTCCTGCTACAGATACTCTACATAGGTTTCTGCTCTGTTCCTATTTGGCACCACAGCTAGAGATCAGTTTAATGAAACTGATATATAACACAGATCCTTATTTTTATTAAATAGTTCAATGTCCTGAAACCAGTACCAAGTGTCAGCATGTTATTAGGGATCCTGCACATTCCCTCTGGTCTGAAACAGTGAGATCCTGTCTAGGGTAACTCGTTACAACGATCGGCTGCAAGCACACAGCAGCTCCAGAGCCATCGCCATTTAACAAAGTCTTTTCAAAATATACTGAGCTCACTCCCAAAGCAACTTACCCAGAATAAAAACAAATCTTCTTTTCAAACAGCTTAAAACATGACAAAGTGTTTATCCCTTTCTGTGATCTCTTTACTCTATAGCCTGCTTGTGTACATACAAAGCTTCAGGAATCCCACATATTAACAAGTGATTCCCAAATATTCTAAAGCTGTATCATTAACCTAAGAATCAAATCAAAGTGTACTGAGATATGCATCAAATTTACAGAAGATCATTTTAAGGAGATACGTGGAGGAACATGATAGAATGGAATATTATTTTTTAATGCAGAATCAGCACCTCCCTGTTTAAAAAAAGAACTCCCATTTCTACAGAAAGAAACAAAAAATAAAGCTATGGAAGACTCACAACCCCCCTTGCCGCTAATTCCCAAAGTGGGAGTGGAAATTAAGTCCTCCATGACTTTGCACCTCCGACTGATGCAAAAAGGCTGGGAACAAAACCAACAAGAAGGGCAGATAAGACAGCAGGAAACATATACTTTACCATCTCCTGGAATGATGCGCAGGGTAACGGTGTTTCCCGCTTCCTTAATGAGGTTGACGATGTCTGAATGTGACTTGTTGGTGATGGAGCACCCATTCACAGCCAAGATCCGATCGCCTACTTTCAGCTTGCCACAGCGGTCTGCGGGACTCCCTTCAATTATCCGACCTATTTTGTGAGGCATGGCCACACATGCATTTCCCGCTTTTGTATTGGTTTGGGGGTTGTTTTTGTTTTTGTTTTGGTTTGTTTTGGTTTTAATTGTTTACATACGTGGGAATATGGTGAAGGGGAAAAGGAGAAAAAGGGTTGAAAAGGGAA